CAGTGAAATCAACATTAATTCCAGTATGTTTTTTCCACCTATATAGATTGAATTAAGATAATCCATATATATTCATTACAGGGTTATCTGGAATAGCGAAAAATGAAAACAAAAACCAAAAAACAACACATAAAACAATAAAGGAATGATTAAGTAAATTATGTCACAAAATATACAGAATATTTTAAAAGAGCTTGTAATAACATAGATAACTGATTATGCTAAAATGCTAACTAAAAATTTGATGCAAATGGTTTGTATAGGAAATTTCAACTATATTAAAATTAAAAAAAAATGAGTAATGCACCAGCAAGTTAATGCTGGTAGCATGTGAGTGGTGAAATTATGACTGAGTAAATAATTCTTTCCAAATCTCTGTACTTTCCAAATTCTTCAAATTTTAGCTTTGTTAATGTACTGGTTAATCATAGATATTATATTTTCCATGATGTTGCTCTTGAGAGGTGACTTTAAAATGGGAATTTCTCAACATTTTTTCATCTAGCCAAAAATGATTATAAGCCATTCTCAGTTTAATTTCCAATAAATCCCTATAGTAATCTGATTTAAATAAAATGGCACAATAGGAATCTTAATTTGTTTCACCCCCAGATTTTACACTACACTTGCCATTCCATTTTTATATTGCTTCCAAGTTTGAAAAAGGTATTTAATTATTAATTGCAACCTCCCCAAATTGTCTTTAAAGAACTCTAGCTAAAAATTATATATTCGTATTTTGCTAAGTACTGATGAAAAAAATACTTTTGTATTTTTTGGTATATTACTTACCGTGTAGCTTCATTTATCTCATGTAATTATATTTCTTCCAGAGTATGGGATCAGGCAAACATTATTTCTCTTGCTGACTTGATCTGTTTTTTTTTTTCTCCCCATTTGTTTGTTTTTGCTTTACAAACCAGACTATAAAAGTTATGTAACCCATTATTTTTCCTCTTTGACCTAATGGCTACAAAATTAAGAACTAACTTTGGATGCAGCTGCTGAACTTTTCTCAAAGAGGATTTTCTTATGCAATTTTTCTTTGTCATTCCCCTTCCCATTTTCCACTTAACTTTTGTCTTTCATATCGTGTTAATGGTGTAAGCCTGTTAGTAGCCATATTTTAATTGTAAGTTGCCAAAAATCTTCTTGAGAACAAGGTGAGATATAAAAAGATTCAAATATAATTTAAAAAATGAAAAGAACACAGTATACAATAAAAGAAAAAGAAAATAAGAACTACATTTTGAAATAACATGGCTTAATTCATTTTTTTCCCATTATATTAGCAGTTAAATCAAACCTGTTTTTTTTCTTCCCCCAAAGCTTTTGGCTTTTTAATGATCAAATTATTTGGTTTCTGTCCTCTGGGAGGCAGGTGCGGTGCTGAGACAGCTTGCTGAGTAAACTGTGAGACTCATGGAAGGATGTATATCCTCTTAAATTGGGATTGTTAGCAGTCTTTGTACTAATCTCATTTGAGTAGTGAAGACAAAAAAAAATTAAAAATTAAAAAGCTAGACTTTATTATTTGTGGTAGAACATAAAAAAATATGGTAAATAATTCCTCCCTTAACCCCTGATTTTTAACCAAGGTTTTGGAAAGGTAAGGTCAAAATTACAGCTCCAATTACATTTGCATAATTTATTAGAATAGACAAAACTTATTTGAAAGAAATTATTTTTATAGCTCTTCCTGATCTAAAATATCGTAGAGTTAATCCTGAAATTTATAACTTTCCACACCTCCTCCAGTGTTTTTGTAAGATTTTGGTATATGACTAAACAGAGAAGGTTATAATTAATAAGTCTTTTGTAGCTCTAATGTATAGCTTGGACTCCAGAAAATTTTTTATTTGCAAATGTTAAAATCCAAACAGTTTCTCTGCTCTTTTATTTGTCTCAGTTTCTTTACATCAGCATTTATAGCGATTGTGAAAATAGAACTTATATAAAATAGCAACCCTGACTGACATTAATTTTGTTTACAACAATATCTGACACAATTTATTACTTTTACACTTAAGATCCCTGAATCATTTTTAAATAAAATTCCCAATTTAAGGCTGCATCATCTCTAAAAGAGTTTGCAACTAGAAAACTGTAATTAACCTTTTTTTCAAAAAAAAGAATGCTGGATCCAGCTTTTAAAAACATGATGTCTTATTACAAACTCACGGAAAAGGAGACTCGACTGCTCTGATACTTACGGCATTCAGATGCTTCTGTCTCAAAGGGATACGGGGGAGTCATTTTGTAGGAACCAGCCAAATATTTTTCCAGTTGCAAAGCCCATCCATTGTTGTCTCCTAAAATAAAAACCGGAGAGCAGAAAAGTTCAAGAAAACAGAAATATTCTGGTGTGTTGGGAAAAATAAGGTCTTTTCTTTAAAATAAGCCAATGAGTCTCAAACAGTGAGATAAGCATCATTGGGGAACTTGCTACAAATGTGACTTTCTGGGCCCGCACCTGGAGATCTTGATTTCGTAGGTCTGT